CTCATGCATCGATGCATGATCAAGGATGCATCGGTGCATTCGTGTAAAATTCAAATATTTTGACCGTTGGAACACTTGATGCATCGGTGCACCAAGTGTGCATCGATGCACGAAATGCATTCGATGTTTGAAAAATAGCCTGGTGCATCGATGCATGGCTTGTGCATCGATACATCAAATGCATTCGATGTTTTGAAAATATTCAGAGTGCATCGATGCATGGAGAGTGCATCGGTGCATGGAATGCATTCGATGTTCAATTAATTCATCGATGCATGGACTGATGCATCGGTGCATTCCTTTGAATAATTGATTTAAGGCTTGTTTTTGGTTCAAAATACTTTGTGAAAATTGTTTCAAAAATAGTTTAAGTACAAATCACAATTTTACACATTTAGTAAGGATTAAAATTGATCTTGAAAAACTTGGAGTAATAATTTGATATTCGGTTAATTGAATCGAATATAAATTTGTAAAATCATTTGTGAAATCTTAAAATTCATTTAACTTAATTTGTTATATCGAAATATCAAAAATATTTTCAACAGATACCTCAGTTAAATGATGTACCGATACCCTATGGGGGGTACCGATACCACTTCAAATAGGAAAATGAAATTATGTCTTTCTTCTAGCTTAAGAAATTAAGGATCGAATCATAATAATTGGAAAGCTGATATGTATATAAATGTATCATTATATAGATATCGAGCATAAGCAAATTCTGGAACAATCGAAGAATTAGAATCAATTCGATTCAAGTAAGGCTAAGGTGAGTGCTTAATAGAGTTATAGTTCAATGGAATTAAGACTTGTGATAAGTCTATTCCATGTATTAGTTTCCATAGTATAATAGTTATGAACATTCATACATGATGATTATTATAAATACATGCATAAGTTATATCTGTTTATATGATTTGATAAATGATGTATGATATATGATTCATGTGATATGTGATTACAAGAGAAAGGACATGAGTACATGAACACATGAAACATAAGAATAATGTCATGTTATATGATATGAGAGCTATAGGTATAGTTGGCATGCCAAGAGTCAAGGGTTACATAGGTCATTCGGGACATATACAGAGGTCTATCGGGACAAATTCATAGGTCCTTCGGGACAAATTTCACATGCCCTTAGTGAGACCCCATACGAGTTGTGATGACAACATATGTGCACAACCTCAGTGTACTCGCATACCTTGAGTTCTCAGTAATGTACATGGGCCTATAAAAGGTATCAAAAGTGTTTGCATTATTGTATGTTATTAGTATTTACACTGAATTATATGCAACATGATTGAATGATTAGATTGCATGTTCATATTTATAGAAAATGTATTATTATTATATTTTATACCTCACTAAGTCTATGACTTAGCGTGTAAGCGTTTTACACGTAGGTACTGAAAAGAGGAGGATCCGATATAAGTTCAGTAGAACAACATATCTCCACTCAAAGATCAGATCAGAAGTAAATTACACAGTATGTCTTGTTATGTAAAAAATAAGTTGGCATGTAAACAAAGTCGTTAAGTATGTATGCTCTGGTAGAGTTTGGTAATATTTTAAACGTATTGATGTAAAAGGTTAACTTTATAATAATGAAAGTTTAAATTTCTATGTTTTTTTCTAAATGTAAATGTTTTGAATAGTCAATGTGACACCTCAAATTCGTATTAGGGTTGGTTACGGGTTAGAGGTGTTACAACTCGTCTCATTTTCTCTTACCACTATAACAATTTAGATTTTATCTAAATCACTTTAAATATCAACCATAAACTCAAAACTCATGAACCTTAACACACTATTATATATAATATCCAACATCTAATTAACATGGAATCAAGGTATACGACTCGCTTTTTCCTTCTCCACCTCCCCGCCTTTGAGATTTAGAAGAAGATGCTTCATCATTGATAAATTAAAATGAATTCAAAACTATTTAAAAAAATAAGAAAGTTTTGAAGTTATTCGATAATTTATAAAAGAATAATGTCCAATCGAACATCATTCAATATTTAATAGTGGAGTAACCAAAATAGATACAAATCGAAAGTTTAGTGAATAAATTTTAAATTTTAGTGATCAAAATAAGAATAAGAGAAAAATTAAGTGATAAAATTTATAATTTATACTTATTATTATCACTCACTGGAAAAGAGGTTTTACTTAAAAGTATTCTATAAATCTATGTTGATAATTGTTTGAGAAATTCAAATTAGTCGAAAAATATTTCATAATAGGAATTAAAATCATGTTAATTATCATTTATGTATATTTAAAATTCCAAATAAATAGAAGATTTTAAATCATTTTAATACTATTTGTAAAAAAAATCATTGAAAATGTATTTGATAATAATTATAAGTTTAATAGTTTACATTACCAAACATGGTCCCCACCCACCCTGGTCAGATTTAGTTAGGGTCGATCTTTTAAAACTATGGATAAATATTTATTATAAAGAAAAATGATATTGATTAATTAAATCATATGTTTTTATATTTTAATTTGTAAGTAATCATGTAAATGAAACCAATTTTTTAAAGGTGTGGCCAAGTGAGGGACCGCACGCAATGGATATTTTAGAAACTGACCCGCAAATTGGGTGGATGCGCTTGGTTATGGGCCTACAAGGCTAAAGCTAAACCGGCATACCACATGCAAAAGCCTCAAAAGTAGGTGAAAGGCTTTAATATCAACACATCATCCCCTCAATAATAATACATGATGTATTCTCAACGTTTAATAGAATGATTATTTGTGATTTATTTAATTAAATTATTTTAAGAACAAAGTACACAAATGATTTTTCGACTATATGATATTGTTTTATTGAATCTTATGATTATTAAAAGATAAAATAATCACTCGATTATTCATATGTTCAAAATGGTCATGAATCATTTGTGTATTTTACTTTTATTTTAATTCTTAATTTTTATTTTTATTAAAATAAGTATTTTAGATGAAATTGTTAGTTGGTTAATATTCTAATTCTTAACATAATATATATATCACAATAGTAATTAAGTATATATAGAGTTGACAGTTAACCAACTAGATAATTTTCATAAATATAACTATTTTTGACGTATTTATAACATTAAAGGCTGAAATGCTTAAAAAAAGAGCATATGAGCTATAGTGACTTTAACATTATGCCCAATAATAATAATTAGATAATTAGATGAACCTCGATTAATAGTTTAATAAATAATGGCATTTAAATGTTATTAGCTCGAATAAAATAATATCTTGAGTATAAATTTAATTGATGAAAAAGTAATTTTGAAAAAAAAAAATTATATTTTATTTAAAATTTCAATTTAATTATAAAATAAATATAAAATATAACATATTTTTATTATCAATCATACGAGCATCTCAAACAAAAAGAATAAATAAAAGGATTCATCGCACACCATAACTCGGGTCTTCTTTTCATCATTGATAAACGTCTGAAATGCATTTCATTTGCAGAGACATTATACAATATACATTTAATAAAAATGTTATAATTTATGCATTCGTTTTTTATATAATTTCATATTTGATATTGTATTGTATTTTATTTTATATTTTATGTTACGAATAATGACGAATAAACGATTATATAATAATAAAAAAGGCAAAAACATATATATTACTCGAATAACTGGTCCGTTTCTAAGATTTATGTAGTCATAGGACAAATCAAAAAGTTGGATCTCTAATAAAAGTATTGAAAAATGAATTTTATAAGTGAATGAAAATAAATTAATTTATTTATAAATATACTCTTTTCTATGCTCATTAAATTATCAAATAAATATATTAAATTTTAAATAAAATAATTTATTTATTTTTATAAAAAACACTCAATTACACATACAAAACAATTTCTATTAATATTTTTCAAATACAAGATCATTAATAATAATGTTTACATCAATATAATCTAACACATTTTTTTCAATACATAAAATGAATATATCATTCAATTTTTCTTATGATATTGACGTTTTTAACAATTTCAACTTCAAAAAAATTGTTTGAGCATATGTAAATATTATTGATATAATTAAAAGGATTCAATAAATAATTGAAACATTTGGTTAACAATTCACAATTTTGATAAACTTGATAATTTCAAATGCCGACATTAACTCATTTAACAAAGTAATTTGCAACATTTTTAATTATGAAAATAGATCATATGTACAAATACCAGATAAATCATTATAAGAAAAAGCATTTAATTTTGTGTAAGATTTTTGTAATTCATCATTATCCTAAGATTTAAATCTTTTTAATCAAATAAAAGTTTCAAATATCAAATAACTATAACTGTTCAAATCTATTTTTTTTAAATATAATTGAATCTATAATTAAAAAATTAATTAGCTAAATTATATTTTTAAGGGTAAACTACATGTTTAGTACCTCAACTATTACCTTTATTCTTTTTTGGTCAATTAATTATTTTTTTCAAAATCATACTAAAAATTAATTATGATTTTAGAAAAAGAATAATTGGATAATTAAATAAAATAAAAATTATAGTTGAGATACTAAACACATAATTTACCTATTTTTTAATTGGGCCCCTGGGCTGTCATTCCTACCCAGGCTCAAACGACATCCCTGACGAACAATCTTAAAAAATCAGAGGCAAAGGAATTTATTACAATTAATGATAAATCACGTGTGAATTATACGATATTACATTAAACCCTAAATCATATATAAACACACGTTCTTACGCAATATAATTTTTTTTAGTTTTATATAAATTCAAAAGACAAATAAAAATAAATAACTAAAATTAACAATAAAAAATAAAATATATTCACTAAAAAAAGCAGTGGAGTAGTCAATCACGAATTTTAACAAGATCTTAATTCGTTTCCTAAACCTCTATTAGTAAAAACTGTCAGAGCTCACTTCAAATACTAGTTATGATTTATGAACCCAGCTTTAATCAAGCCCAATTCTTGTGTCCGTCGCCCAGTGTCTGCCTGAATCAATCCCAGACTCGGTCATGACTCAGCGCAACCATGAAAACCGAGCTACAAACATCGGTTGGCAAGCCTTCCAGCAAGAACAAGATCACCAAAGTCTTTAAACTCGACCAACTGAGCTCCGAAAGAAACACTTCATCGAAATCTCGGAGCAGGACCACCACTACAAATGACCGGTTACGGTGGTCATGGCCTCGCCAATCTCAACTTCTACATTCGTTCTTTCACACCATCTGCTAGTTCAAAATCAACTGCCTGCTTATTATCTCCTTTGGTTTCATATCCCAAAGCCTCGAGTTTTCGTTTCTCCAAGTGTTTTCCTCAACCAGGTTCTGCTTATTTTTGTCAATGGAATGGTCTGAAGCATATGAGCATTTCCATCTCACCAAAGCCTCGTAAATTTGGTACATTTCGTTGTTTTTCCGGTTTGGGTTTCCCCTTTTTGAGCATTTATTTTTCCTTTAAAACAATTTATTTTGATTCTTAAATCTGCTAATGGTGGTATGCAGAAAAAGGGGGAAGATATAAAGGCCAGGTGGTTCATGCATCTCTGTTTGGGGTCGGAGCTCCTGAAGCTCTGGTTATCGGGGTAGTTGCTTTGATGGTGTTTGGTCCCAAGGGTCTGGCTGAGGTATGTTAATTAATTTGTAAACAATAGCAGAGCACCTGTTTGATGCTTCTTGTCTGAGAAATGAGCTGGTCTAGTGTTGGATTTGTTGTAAAATGCGCATTATATCTCAAAAGAATTCCACATCTTTTGCAAAAACCTCTCGATTTTTGCTTGAGTATTTGTGCATTCTTGCTCTTTCTGTTCCATTTGCGTGCTTGTTGAATCCTGGAGGTTACACGTTTAGTGAAATATACTCAAGGACAATGTCTAGTGCAAGCCTCAAGCAACTCCGATTCCTGGCCTTCTCTCCTAATCTTCGACCTATTTTAGACAGGATTTTCTAGAGAAATGAATTTAGCTTTGGTCTGAAATTGATGTCCAAAAGATATTGAACAGACCACCAAAGAGTCCATTTGATTTTTAACAAGATATGCTTAATCGCCCTTGAAGCAAGAACTTTTTTCACGTGCCAAACTAAGCCTGATCCGTTCTGTCATCGATCCTTGTTGACTTGAAGACTCCTACAACTCTGATTACTTGGCAAGAAACAGGTCATTGTTTCACTTTCAGCGTTCTTTTCATTATGAGCATGCTTGGGGTCCATAGTGATCCAGATGTTTAGGATTAAGCGTCCTTGAGATCCCTCTTCACCTTTTACCGAACGGCACAATATCGTGAAGTTTTTTTAACTTGTGGAGAGTCAAAAGACTAGTAAGACATATTGGTATTATTTTGTATAACATTTTATCTACTAGATTTCATGTTATCCAACTCAGAGGGTTGAACATTCCTTTGGTTTTTGTTACTTAAAAAGGATTCAAAAATTTATATATTAAGCGGTGTTATTTCACGTCTGCTAAATCCTAAATATTGGATTTCCTGCAGTCTTGTATTAAAGTTGAACCCCTTCACCTATATAGCTAATCGGATTTAGGTTGGATGATTAACATGATAAAAAGATTAGGTTTATGTTCTTACTATTAAACCTGAAGTGATGTTAACAACCCTTTATAATTATCTGTTAAACATTGTATTTGGTATGACAATTTGCAAATAGCAATCATTGTGATGACTTCATGGAAGTTAAAAATCCTTTTCGCATCCCAGTGGCCTAATAAATGCAGGTCGCTCGGAATTTAGGGAAAATTTTGCGTGAACTCCAGCCCACCATTAGAGAACTTAGGGTAAGAAGTGCTCCCTTTGGTTTTGCTTTATATATTTATACCTCGAGGTAGCTTGTCTTCTGAATTCTTCGTGTTTTTCCCCCCTCAAAGGAAGTTACAAGGGAATTCAAGAGCACCCTCGAGCGGGAGATTACTCTCGATGAAATGTCAAGTTCGCCACAAAATACGAAAAGCCCCCATCTAAATAACTCTACCCCAACCCCTCTATCAGCTGCCAGCACTGAGGAATCTAGTACCAAGGCTGACCCTAGTGAGTTCCTTGTTTTCTTGTATTTTAGAGGCCATGAATATGCTTTTTTGTGTCTGATTGTTCATGAATTTTGTTGTCCGAATTTCATTTATAGTGTTACTCGATCTGTTACCCTGAAACATGCACTGAATGCTACCCAATAGTGGAAGGATCGTTCTTTATTCATTTCCTATTCCCTTTGTATCATCTAACGAAATTCGTTGAGCCTTGCAATTTGTCACCTTAACTGCAGACGTTACTCCATCTGTGACGGAGGCTTATACTAGAGAACACTACCTAAAAGTCACAGGAGAGCAGCTAAAGGCTTCAGCTTCTCAAATGCCAGACCAGACACCGTCTTCCGGAGAAAGCCAGTTAGAATCAGAAAATCAACACAAAGGTTGGTTCTTGTCCATCTTCATCTTCTTTTTCCAGTCCCTTTCTTATTGTGATGTAATTCGTGTAGATCAGTAACAGCTACTCCCAACGAAACTGCTGCCACTGCAATGAGTCCATCTCAGAAACTCGAAAGGAAGACATGAAAATCGCATGGAAGGAGAAGCATTTACTGATGTAAATCTAATCCCATCTCAGAGCAAGGTGGTCTTCTAAATTTTGGTTAAATGGCTTTTAGATTGGTTCTTTCAATTCTTTGTAGTCAGCCGAGTAGTTGCACGGCATGTTCTTTCATATCTTCCATTTTCAGAGGAATGTCTGAGATTGAGGTTGGTGTATTGTGCAGTACGTTGTAGTTGCCTTTCATCTTAGTTAAATAAAGGTCTGATTTTGGTTTTATTCCCTATTTTATGTTAAATTTCAGATTTAATTCTTCTATTTTAATGTGACGTAATCCAGAAATTGTACTTTTATAAATTATAATGCTATTAGTTGGTCTTAAAAAACAAAGCTGATGGTCGTCAACTTCAACAACCGTGACAATACCATTGGCCCGTCAACTCCAATCAACAACATCAAGAAAACCAATCAAACACAGCCACGTAAATACATAAACTATTTCTCTTACAACATCACATTCAATTCTATTAACATTGATTAACATGGCAGAAACGTGGAGAACCGTCTGGAGAATCAGAAATCATCACCGACGACATCGACATCGTAACCAAGATCATCTTCAACCCTCTCCGCCGCCTCATCGGCGATATGATCCTCTAGCGCCTCAACGCCTTCCGCCAATGCGAGTCCACCCAAAGCCCCTGCAACTGCACCCACCGCCATCCCCGTCCCCATCCCTCCAAACTTGCTCTTCCTCCCCTCTTGCCCGTAGTAATACCCGCCACTTCCCTCGCCGTACGGAGCCTGTCCGTACGGAGGCGGCGGGGCATTATAATTGTACGCACTATAAGGGTAGCCACCCGGCGGGGTCGCGTAGTAAGGGTAGCCAGATGGCGGCAGAGCGTATGGGTAACCGTAAGCTGAAGGATGAGGAGCCGCCGTCGGTGGGACACGGTATTGATGTGCTTGATACTGATCGGATGTGCGATAGCGTGTCTCTCTAATCAAAACTTTGATGTCGAGTTTGCCTTGCGGCCTCCCTGAGGGTCGTTTCAACTGGAGCGTTCTCTTGTAGCTTTCGCCGAATCCGGCATCGTCAAGGACTTCCCGAAGCTTGAGCCTAGCCGAGCCGATGAGAGGCTTGGTGCCCTCCTCGGATCCGGCATGGACGACGTCAACGAAGAGGGTGGTATCCTCGTCGATAGGACCAGGCAGAGGGATGATAATAGTCTCGTCCCATGTTGGATCGGTATCACCTTCCTCATCGGCCCTAGTTGAACACTTGTACTTCGGGTGCACCCAAACGACGACGTATGGCCTGATCGGACCGTGGCGCCAGTTCACGTTCTTTAGACCTCTGGCGGAGGAGAAGGTTACTTCTATTTCATGGGGAGACGCCATGTTTCTGGTAATTTACTTGCAGAAGGGGTAAAATGGAAATTTGGAGAGGATAATAAAGCACGTTCTGTTATGGATTGTGATCGGACAAGGTGATGTGTGAGTCGCTGAGGGCATTTATATAATTAGGTTTCCATTAACAGAAGAGAAGAGGTTCTACGAGTTTCCGGCATAAAGGGTGAATACAACAACGAACAATATGGTGTTAGTTACTTTGAAGTGTGTTGGGCCACTAACCAATCAAGCAATAGATAGGATCAGGGCAGTTTTGATGTGGTTCATTAGTATTAAGCTAAACTCACACTATATATAGGGCAGTCCATTAAAATTAATCCAACATTAAGCCCAATTTATATAGAGGGCAGTCCATTATTTAAAATTAACGTTCGTTTTATTTTTAATGATCGAGTGAATAACCTATTTATTATAATCGATTAATTAAGTAATTCCCTTTTAACTTTTTTTTTTTTTGAAATTCAATGATTTTTTTGTAATACTGGTAACAACGGGATGGCCTATGATGAATTTTGATTGAAAGTAAGCTAAAACAGCCATAATTTTTGTAAAGGCCTAAGACTAAATTTTTATAAAATAACGTGGATGGTTTAATTTGTCAAATCTCATAAAATTGATCTATGAAATTCATAATTAAATCGTTTTATATATAAGATTTAGCCATTTATAGATCAACCACGGCTACAAATGATGGAATTAGAAAATATTGAGCCAACGGCCACAAAGATCGAACGACCATAATCCTCAATGCACGCCATAACACCTAATTCCTACCTCTTAAGAAATCTCATCTCTTCGACCCTGAAGGTAGCTCTAAGACTAGTGAACGCTGCAACTTGAAACCCTCTCCCAGATATGGTGTCGTCTCTAAGACTACCAACGCTCACCTCCCTCTTCTCTCCCTCCTTCACCCGCCGCTCCGCGGTTTACATGCGGCGGCGTATCCATCTCCGTCCTCCTCTAGCCGCTGGGTTCTCCGCCCAAAGCGCGGCGTCGAGTCCAACGGAGACTGAAGACCGAGTTGACAATAAGAAAAGCGGCCGAGTTCAAGACCGAGGGAATACGGACGGAATCATCACGCCTCGATCTCAGGACTTCAATGCTTGGTACCTTGATATTATTGCCAACGCTGAGCTAGCTGATTATGGCCCCGTTCGTGGTACCATGGTTATTCGACCCTACGGTTATGCTATTTGGGAGGCAATTCAGGTCACTTCATTTTCTTCTATTTTCTATTAATAAATTGCTCCTTTTTTTCTTTCAAAAATTTGGTTCATTTTGAAAAGAAAAAAAAAACTTGCAGGATTATTTGAATGTTAAATTCAAGGAGACTGGGCACAGTAACATGTACTTTCCACAGGTGTGGTTTTTGTTTAGAGAATATTTAAGCTATCCTATTGTATATTCGCTTTGGTTTATGAAATTTATTTTGTGACTGCAGTTTATTCCATACTCATTTATAGAGAAAGAAGCTAGCCATGTTGAGGGATTTAGTCCAGAATTAGCTCTTGTCACGGTTGGAGGAGGAAAGGAACTCGAAGAGAAACTTGTGGTACACATTTAGTATTAGTTAGCTTAACTCTTTTTGTTATTAGTTATTTGCTAAGTCTTATCACTGCATTTTGATGAATTTGCGTAATTATAATCGGTGTCATACATTCTGATTTACATTTTAATGAAAGTGCTGGTTAAAGAGTAACCATGATGACATGACCTGAGTTTTGCCTTTGATTGTTATAATTCCTGAGGTTGTGACAGGTTCGACCTACCAGTGAAACCATAGTAAATCATATGTTTACACAGTGGATTCACAGTTATCGTGATCTTCCTCTAATGATTAACCAGGTATTAGCTTAGTTATTTATAATCTGGTTATACAGTTATGCAAGGTTGCCGCTGACTGAGTTTCCCTTGTTTTATTCTGTTCAGTGGGCAAATGTCACTAGATGGGAGATGCGCACGAAACCATTTGTAAGGACCCTCGAATTTCTTTGGCAGGAAGGTCACACAGCACATGCCACACCAGCAGAGGCAGAAAATGAGGTTTATGCCACTTTACCTATGGCTTGACATGGTGATTTTAGACAGTATTGTTTTTACTTAAAGGATTGGATGCTTCTGAACTGCAGGCGCTACAAATGATTGATGTCTATACAAAGTTTGCTTATGAGCAAGCTGCAATACCTGTAATTGCAGGTAGAAAATCTAAAGTGGAAACGTTTGCTGGTGCTGACAAGACCTACACAATAGAAGCTATGATGGGTGATCGTAAAGCCTTGCAAGCTGGAACCAGCCACAACCTTGGGCAAAACTTCTCCCGTGCCTTTGGGACACAGGTGATTGATAATCTGGGGTGCTCCTTTTTATCTGTTTTCCATCTCTGAAATGGATATGCGTGCAGGGAGCAAATGATTTGTTTACAAATGATGTTTAATTTTAGTGAAATTGCTGGAGAACAGTTCACTTCTATTATTTGTCACATAGATGAAACACGAACCTGCCATATTTTTGTGGTCAACTCTTTAAAGCTTGAATCCGTATGGAATGTCGACACTCTCATGGAGCTTTTCACTTAAAGAACCTTTTGTTTTTGGAAGGACATTTTCCTGGATTATATAGGCATCTTTTATTGGTTGTTTGAGGTGGCTTTAGTTTTTTCCCCATGTTTTCATTGTTCTTTTAAACTAGCGTCTTATTCTTTCTGCTCTTGGTCTTAGCAATTTCTGAAAGTCAATCCAGAAGCCAGGAAAGGTTGGTACATATATTCTTTTGAAATCATAACACTTCTTTTACAATGTAGGCTGGGTGACATTTTTGTACTGGTTCAGCTGCCCATTTTATCTAGTTATGATTGTCCATTTGTCCTCCCACGAAGAGTTTGCAACTTTTTTACTTGAAAAAAAATATTTTCTATTTGTTTCTGGTAGGTGTAGGCCTTTCAAATGCTAATGTGAATAACCGATTCTCTTTGTTCTATTTTGTACTTGCCTCTGTATTGGTAACTCCATAATAAAGGTTTTTGAGTGAAACTTGTGCTTGTGCAGTTCACTGATGAAAATGGCCAAAGGCAACATGTGTGGCAAACGTCTTGGGCTATCAGCACAAGGTTTGTTGGTGGTATTATCATGACCCATGGAGATGATACTGGTCTGATGCTTCCTCCGAGAATTGCACCAATACAGGTATACATTGTAGTACCCTTTTGGTAGGTATGGTCCAGCCTGTCAGGCGGAGCTTCTAAAGTAAAATGACTTTTACAGGGAACCCTGTTTGCAGAAAACTTTGTGGATATTAGAAGTGATTTAACTTCGTGCAATTTATTGATACGCTATAATGTCTTGAAGCTAAATAAATATCAAGAGAATTACTACTGTAACATGCTTTAAAGGTACCTTAAGTTTACAATTTTTGTTTGTTTGTTAATTTTATGATTATTGTCCTTTTCTGTTGTATATCATACACTATCAGGTTGTGATTGTACCAATTTGGAAGAAGGTTGATGAGAAAGCAGGAGTTCTAGATGCTGCAAAATCTGTTGCAGAAGCTCTGAAAACTGCTGGACTTAAAGTTAAACTTGATGACACAGATCAGAGGACACCAGGATGGAAATTCAATTTCTGGGAGATGAAGGTATCTTTACATTTAAATGTGGTTGCACTTTTTTTGGTTGTTCTGAAGTCTAGATTCGTCCTCCAACTAAAAAACTGAGATAAGGGAATTCCTTAGGAAGTTCATAAAACCTGTCTGCATCCAGAAAATGTGTATGGATGCAATCTTGACCCGTCTGTTCCTTGAGTTGTTTTGAGTGCTTTTATTATTTCATCATGTGATATAGTCTGATGTTTTTTTGCTTAGAACGTTAGTATCTCTCTCTCTTTTTTCTATCTTGTATAGAATATTGCTTTGCAAAAAATATTTTTAGCTTTCATCTGCCTCAAGCTTTAGATGATAATTTTGTAGGGAGTACCTCTAAGGATTGAAATTGGTCCCCGTGATGTTTCAAGTGGGAGTGTGGTCATATCTAGAAGAGATGTTCCTGGAAAGCAAGGGAAAGTTTTTGGAATATCTATGGAACCTTCAATATTAGAAGCTTATGTCAAAGATAGGTTGGATGAGATCCAATCATCTCTTCTTCAGAAGGCAATATCTTTCCGGGACAGGTGTGTTCTTTTCTCAAGCAATTATTAAGAGTTTCAACCCAAGGATTGCTTTACTAATAGGAGTATTTTTTGAGCTTTTGAATCAAGCTTATTAATGTACTATGTATGTGTGTATGATGAGTTTTTGAAGCTAAAGAGTTTCAAGCCACAGTGTCTCTCTAATTACTATTTTGAAGTCATTTTGTCTCATCAAATGTTCATCTGATAGATTGTATGATATCACAGTCTCTAAATTGATGAATTGTTGTATATGTCTCTCTTATTAGCTTCAATTTTGCAGAAAGCTTCTTGGAGATTTTTGAGTTGAACCGAATGCATCTATTTCTCTGCACTCCCTTGAGTTCGTAGGTCTTATTTCTAATGCTTATTGGACTCTCTCTGCAGTAACATAGTGGATGTGAGCTCTTATGAAGAACTCAAAGAAGCAATATCTTTGGGCAAATGGGCTAGGGGACCTTGGTGTGCTAGGTAGACTACTCATTCTTAGATAATAGCCATACCAGAATCACTTGACAGTATATTTACTGAAACATGTGCATTTGTGAGTCTTAACAATATGTTTCTTGTGTTGCTGCAGTGATGCAGACGAGTTAAGAGTGAAGGAAGAAACAGGGGCAACGATTCGTTGTTTCCCCTTTGAACAGCCTCGGGGGACCAAAACATGCTTGATGACAGGCAACCCTGCAGAGGAAGTTGCTATCTTTGCAAAATCTTATTAAGGACTTTGGTAAAGTAGATTTTCAAGCCCACAGACTATCTGGTTTTGCAATTATATGTCATGAATTTTGTCCAGGTTTTTATGCCCACTTCCTCGTCTATATAAACAAGTAGCTTTGATCAGCGCACATAACTGTTTTATGCATTTTTAAAGCTTTGTCATCCTGTCATATTCTTGTCTCGCTTTGGGGGGATCTAAGAAAACGATCTATACTTCCGGTCTGATATAGCTTATGTATAAAAGTGACATTGATCGATTTGCATTATTTTTTTGTCTTCTTCAAATGGGGTTTCTTGTTGATATTGGCATAACTTGTGTATTGCAAGTAGTCAGATAATTGAGAATCGAGATCCGTCCAAACCCGACGAAATGCACAATGCAGATGCAGACATATGGATTTCAGCCTTTCCTACAAGAAACACTGTCAGCTTGCTTTCGATTTGTTCTTTAATGGCATCAATTTCGGCATTGCAACTCATCTGTTGACTGCTGTTGTCCTGAGATACTACTAGCAGTGCCACTTTTAATTGCCTCAGCTCCGGATTTGAAAGAATCATGTACAGCTTCCTCCGAGTATTTCAAGTTATTCGAATCAACCATACTACATAATGATAAGGGAGCAAGAAATGTTGGTAAAAGTAGTATTTTTGTCGGCAGTTATAATTAATGAGCCCGCCCGCAATGTGAGTCACTTGGGCAGCACTAGAGATGCACATAACCGGATTTAAATTCGATCCGGATCGGATAAAAATCGATTTGGTTTTTTCACTAAGTCAAAAAATCGGTTTATAAAAAATCCAGTTCGGATCATAATCGGTTTGGAGGGCCGAATGATATAACCGGTGTAAGCGGAAAAATCGGTTTTAATCCGGTAAAAAATCCGGTCATCTAATTTTTTAAACCCAGACTGGATTTTTTTTCGGATAAAAAATCAGTTTTTTTATCCGGTAAAAAATTCGGTCGTCCAATTTTTTCTCAAACCGGTTATACTATCCGGTTTTAAAATATTCGATCCGATTAAAAAAAATTCTTAAATCCGGTTTCGAATATTTTTACGTAAAATCGGATATTTGAATTTTTTGTGCATCTCTAGCCAGCACTAATACAAAGCCCGATAATTATAAAGAGTTAATAAACACTGTTTAACATAAAACAATGGCCAATAATTATGATGTATTTGGAAAAAGATTAATAATAGGTGAGGAAGGAACCGATTATTATGCACCAACTAACTCAAAAATAAAAACTGCAACAATCTGGGCTGCACCACCACCACCACCACCAACAACACCTTTTGTTGTAACAAAAAAGATAGATGATTAGAATTAGGGATGTGCCTTGGGTTGATAGGTCGTTCTCTTAAAAATAAATTTTTTATATTATATATATATAATTTTTTTATTGAAAATATGATTTTACGTTCTTTAAAATTTTACAAATATTTTTCTATTTAAAATTCTATAAGTTCATATTCTAATATAAAATTATGTCTGTTTTTTTATTAGAACACGAGTGTTGTATCCATTGGAAGATCATAAAACCTAAATTTATTTGTTATTAATTACAATGATAAAGGTAGATAACAGCATTCTTATTTACTAAAACAATAATTAGGGATAAATTTACACAGTGGTTTGAAAGGTTATTATCTTTTTTCAATTTTTTTTTTAGTATAATGATATTATAGGTTTTTTAATTTAAATACTAATTAAATAAAATTTTGTTCCTCTTAAATTTTAAATTAGATATTTAATATATTTTTATTCTTTTAATAAAAAATAATCTTGTCTCCCTAATATTTGAATCACAATTCACGGGGAGATAAAAAAATAAAGCGGCTCGTATATGTCACCCCTTCCCGAGAATATGAAAATCTGACAGAAAATTATGACATTAGGTATAAATATATTAAGTATATAATTAGTTACAGATATAACGCATATTTTATTTATATATTTAAATAAATAATAAAATAAACAAACCAAATCATGTTTATTATATTCATTCTATAATTTAATTTGAATTTTATACGATCAAAATAGGATTTTAGAAATAGTATTCTTTTTAGAAATAAGGAATAAATTAGAAATAAAGATAGAATAACGATATTATTTCAGATAGAACACAATGAACTACGACAATTACGTAGGTTAATTTGTTAATTTATCCTTCACACACTGCCACTCTTAGCTGCCAGATTTAGGGGTCATCATTTGATCGAGTAGAATCGAGTAAAGAAAAAAAGTTTTGAGTTATTCGAGTTTACGAGTTGTATTTTATAACTCGAACTTAACTTGAAATTTTTTCGAATCAAGTTGATATTAAGAAATTCGAGTCAAATTGTTCGAGTTCCTCTACAATATAATATATATATATATATATATATATATATTCTTCATATTATTTTCACATTATAATGTTATTTAATATATCACATACAATCTAAAATTAAAAAAATATATATTTACAATATTATATTACAAAGAAGATATTTTGAGGATAAAAGATGAATGGGAGTATAAAGGAATAAAATAATTGATGTAAAGAAAGAATTTGTAAACAATTGTAATCAAAAGACAAAACTGAGTAAAATACAAAGTTAAAAGGACTAAATTAAAACAAGAGAGTATATTTTTAGTAAAAACAGAATTGAATTTAAATAGATATTTTATAGTGGTAGGAGAGTATGTGGTTTAAATTTGGTCAAAAACGTACTTAAAATGAAGGATGAATTGAAGAAATACAGAAATCATGCAAAGTTGAGGGACTAAATTATAAAAAAAAGAAAATTTGTTATCAAAAGTTGAATTGAAAGTACATATGTATTCTATGATGATTTAGGAGCATGTGGTTCAAATTTGGTGAAATTTTAACTTAGAATGGAGGAGGAATTGAAGTAATAGGAAACTAGGGACCAAATCATAAATTTGTCAAAATACTATCAAAATTTTCTGTTTTTCTAGTTACAAATTTTGAAATTTTAACGAAATTGAAAATCGAATTAATAATTCAAGTTTACTCGAATAAATCGAATAACTTAAAATTAAAAAAAAAATTAAATTTTCAATCGAATTTTATTCACTTCTAATATGGGCGGTAAATATCAGCAAGAGCAGGTGGAGGCTGGTGGTCATGGAAGACTATGACAACATGAAATGATTACGTTGTTGGAGCCTGCTCGTGCTTGCCAGCTAAAAACCGATGGCTTCTTCTACCGCCACCGCCCACACCCTTAAAGGCCACCGAGGCACTTTTGCCATGATCTGAATACTAGTAGGAACTATAATTTTCACGTTAAGCTCTCTATCGGAGTTGGTATTAGGGTATCAGTATTTCCCTCGTTTTTAATTTGTTAGAACTTCTATTATGGGTAAAACTAAAAGGTCTAATTAGTCAAAATGGAAAATCCAAACTTGAAATATTAAGAGATGAAGTAAATAACTTGATAAAAAAAAGCAACTTTATGTAGCTTTGTTGTCGTATCAGTGTCTTTCAGCAAGCAAATAGTGGGGAAGAAAAAAAGGGGTCAATTTCTTTTGGATTCCTGACTTTGTTTATTGGCATCAATTGAAAATGATTTCAATGGTGATTTGTCCATGCTTAACTGGACCCATAGTAGCGAAAGAGAACCAGTTTGTACGAATGTGATCTGTTCAAAACAAATATTACCAGAAAAACCATCAACTTCCATGGCCAAGCCCTGTAATCTTTCCTAATCTTCAAGTGAACCCAGTTTCTTCAAAAGCGTTCTCCCTTTCTTCTGTGACCTTTTAAAAGCTTCACCTTTTAGCTTTAATCTTCCTTTCACTCTTTACTTAGCTAAATCTTTCATCCCTGCAAATACCTTTCTCAACTGTGGATCAAACGCCAACGCTTCACTTTATAATCGTGTCTTCATAGCCGATTCAGCGAAGCCCGGTTCGGTTGCACTCACTGACAAACCCATATCCGGATTCGCCTATCTTGTACCGCACGGCACGGGTTTTCACTGCTGAGTCGAGCTACTAGTTCGACATGAAGCAAAACGAGACGGGGACTCACTTGGTACGCCTGCATTTCTCTCCGTTTCGAGTTCAAAATTTCGACTTGTCTTCTGCGAACTTTAATGTTTTGGCCAATGGCTTCTTGTTACTGCGTGGTTTTAGTGCTCACAATATGGTGTTAAGAGTTTTTATTGAAAATTAATGGTGAAGTTTTTGAAATCATATTTAGTCATCTAGGTGATTCTGAGTTTGCTTTTGTTAGTGCAATTGAGGTGTTTTCAGCTCCAAAATACTTCATAATCGATGATGGAGCTCGGTTGGTTAATGGTAATGGAATTAAAAGTTACAAGAACTTAACATCACAGGTTTTAGAGACTGTTCAGAGAGTTAATGTTGGTGGATTGAAATTAACTCCTTTTAATGATTCTTTATTGAGAACTTGGATCCCTGATGATGGCTTCCTCGTGTCCGAATCCGCTGTGAAGAAAGCCGGCACCACTTAGGTACCGAATTATCAGAATGGCGGCGCGGCCCGTGAAATAGCCCCGGACAATGTTTATATGACTGCCCGAGAGATGAACCGAGATAATTCGACATTGAATGGTATATTCAATGTCACTTGGGATTTTCCAGAAGGTTCACTTGGTGATCCAACCTTGGTTAGGTTGCATTTCTGTGACATTGTTAGTCCTGCACTTAATCAGCTCTACTTCAATGTGTATATCAATGATTATTCTGCCTATAGGGATTTGGATTTGTCGATGCTTACGGTTCATGTACTTTCGTCTCCGGTCTACTTAGATTTCGTCGTGGATTTGGATGATTCGGGGGTTACTCGTGTTAGTGTTGGACCTTCAGATTTGAGCACTCCTTTTAAAATTAAAGCAATTCTAAATGGAGCTGAGATCATGAGGCTGGTGAATCCTATAGGCTTGCATGCTAAGTCTAAGAAGAGAAACACTTGGATTTTGGTTCTTTTTATTGTTGGTGGCTTTGTTATCTGTTGTTTAGCTGCGGCTGAAGTTCTGCTTATGTTTAAATGCAGGAAGAAGAGAGCAAAACCGCCAAGACGTGTAGAGAGTGCTGGTTGGACACCGCTACGTGTTTATGGGGGCAGTTCGTATAGTATAATGTCCGAAGGGACTGCTACTATGTCTCCTGGTCGTAATGGTAG